GATTCTATCCAACAGCGTCCATCAATCAGCAAGTCTTATGCAATGGTAACCAGCAATGAAGTGCATGAAGTGTATCAAGATAGCAAAGGCAATCGGGAAGTTTGGGAAAGACGTGCTGTTTTGTTTGTCTTGTTAGGGCAACCCTTTTTCTTTTCTCTTACGGATTACAACACGCGAACGACAATGGCATTGCACACATTGACCACGGCATAGTATCAAAAGGTAACATGGCAGAGTTACGTGGAAGTCGACTAGTGCAGCTGACGAGAGAGTTGGACACTACAATATAGCAGTATATCAAAGCACCCTGTTGCACGATTAACAACAAGAGATACACCACCTTCCAGCATGATACGAACCGAGGTTATAGTACTGCGTATATAGTATCATACATTTGGATGTTGGATGGCAATAAATGGGATGGATCGGATTTACTACCAGAGCTTATGATACATGACGGCATGTATGATGATGCATGTTTTGTTCAATGAGTATAAATAAAAGTGTTTCAATACATATAGCTTTTTTGGAATAAGAACTTGATATCCTATCTTTATTTACTACAATGACAAAGGCTAAGCAACAATCACCAAAAAGCATCTTGAACAAAGTTCAAAAGAAGTCCTTGAAAAGGACACCATCAGCACAGGAAATGAGAGCGGCGACCAAACGACTCCGCTCGTTGAGCTCAACAATTGCTGCAATGCAGGAGACGGTGGCGATGAAGGAAGAACGGGATCTTGTGTCGGCGATGCAGCATTTGAGGATCAGTTCCCCTTGCAGCTCCCCACCAGTGGCAAGGCAAGTTGATGAAGATGCGAGTGAGCAGTGTGAGCAAGCTGCCACTGGTGGCGGAAAAACAAGTGAGGAGTGTGAAAGCACTTCTTTCAAGACTGTGCCTTTGTCGATGATCATGGAGCGTTTTGTGGAGTGTCGTGTGGATTACGTAGTGCACCAACTAGATTACGTACTTGAATAATAAACAAACATACCGGCATTGTATTCTAATTGCTTTTTTACCTCACTTCCGTTTTTGCTATAAGCATATCAATACTGTAACTCTCATCATGCAATCATCTCGCTCATACGTTCGCAATGGCAAAGTTGTCAAGAGAAATCATCGTGTGGCAAACCATGCCCAGCGTATCACACATGCCAATCTTGCAAGCCATTTGCGGTCACTCAACCTCCGAGAGTCTGTCGGCGATCACGAAGATGATCCAGGTACAGGTCCAAGAGTTGAGAACACAAAAAGCATATGACCAAGTATTCAACTAATGTAAATGATCAATAGCACAAACTGAGTCGATGGATTTGGATACAGGGAATGCTAATGCATTCTCAAATATCCGCTATACAGCTGTTGAATCCAGTGATAGCGACATCGACAGCGACAGCGACCCAAGCATTGACGATGATGAAGAAGGGACATCTTCCCCAAAGAGTGCCATACATTCGTTGCTTGGCAAAATGAGCACTCATCCAGTTGTTCCTTCAACTGTCAGCAACAGTGCCGAGTCTTCAACTTCCCAAGCGAAGAAAACCACTCGACGAAGTGGCCCCAACTTGACTGATCAGCAAGTTGATCAAGTCCTTGACCTTGTCGTTAAGCAAGGAAAAAGCCGTCGTGATGTTGGGGCTATGTTTAACAAGTCGGCATCCACGATCGGCAGAGTTGTCAAGAAGTATAGAGAAAGTGGAACAGCTGTTGTGTCTCAAAAGGGACTCACAGCTCCCACTAAAATCGATGAAGAAGGCAACTCGTTCCTCCGACATTTTCTCTCAACCAACAACACAGCTACTCTGGATCAGATTAGCCATGCTTATGAGCAAAAGTTTGGCATAAAAATCGCCAGCAGTACGCTACATCATCATCTTTGCCACTCAATGCGCATCACTCTCAAGCGTGCTGGCAAGTATCCGGAGCGATGTACAGATGATGAGACCAAGCAGTTGCGAGCAGAGTTTGTGCGTACGCACATCGAATCAGGTGTCGTTGATTATAAACGCAACTGTGTTTTCATTGACGAAGCCTCATTCAATGCAAGCATGCGGAGAAATTATGCATGGTCCAACGCAGGGGATCCTGCACATGTTCACGTACCAATCCTGCGTGCTCCATCAACGACACTTTTGGCAGCGGTTAGCAACGTGGGGCTTATTGAAGTTGCAATGAAAGTATGCCCAAAAAATGATGGGGAGAAGGGCACAAAAAAACCCGTTAAAAAGGGTACCACAAGGTAAAGCGTTTTAATGATCCACGTATATGAGACTAACGGCTTTTATGTAGCATCGATTTTTTGGGATTTGTGAATTTGGTGATGGATCAACTAGATCCAAGAGGCTATAGTGGGTGGTACTTGATCTTTGACAATGCCCCCATTCATACGCTGCAATTCATTGCCAAAGAGATTGAACGACGTGGTTACCATATGCTCCTCTTGCCGAGATACTCGCCTTTTCTCAACCCTATCGAAGAATTTTTTTTCAAAGGTAAGATCTTCTGATACATCCTTTGTGTTTATGATTACATAACAATTGTTGCAGGT